GCCAAAACACACTGACTAGCAGTACCCTTTTGGATGTTCCCTAAGGACAGGCCTTTTTTAAAACATGGCTTCTGAATTATATCTCCAAGTTCCCTGTCCATTTGGGCTCCTTAGGGCCAATTAAAACAAAGTAAGCCACTACTCATATCTCTATTCAATGGTTGCTGACAGGATTCTACAATAAAGGAAGAACAAACACTGCCAAATGAATTGTTCTTTCATCTCTGCAGTGTTGAGTTTCCCAAAGCCAGAAATGGTTCCCTCCCACTTTTGCTCGAAGTGTCCTTTGCTTCTAACAAGTGGCAGTCTACTGTGTTTGCTTGGCCATCTGCCTGCCCACAGCAGGGATTGACAGAGGCAGTTTGTGAGAGAGCCTTATCCCTGGGTTCCAGATTTATAAACCAACTATTTTTTCTTTAGGGAAGATTTGATTTTCCTCTAGGAAAAATCCTTTAAATTGAGAAAATTGCTTGCCAGATAGTTAGATAGATAGTCCTGTTAATTATCTCAGCATATACTACATGGAACTCAGTTTGAAGATATTTGAAATAATTAGAAACACTGATTTTCATTAGAGCAGTGTTTAATGTAAATTAAAATCACAATATACTCTTCCATTAGAATGGCTAAAGTTGAAAAGAATGAACGTACCAGTCTTGGTGAGGATATAGAGTAAGAGGAATTCTCATTCCCTGCTGGTGAAATGTAAAATGGCATAACCATTTTAGAATACAGTTGGGCAGTTTTTTAACCAATGAAGCATCTACCATATGATCAGGCATTCACCTGCTAGGTATTATGGCGATGAGAAAGCATATAATAAAAGGGAATGAAGTCCACATAAAGACCTGAACATGAATGTTTACAGCAGCTTCATTTGTAATAGTCAAATATTGAACACAACCTAAATGTCCATGAGTGGGGGGAGAAATTGTGATAGAGCCACACAATGGAATGCCACTCTGCACCCTGCCAAGTACCCTCAACATGGATGAATCTCAATTCTGCTGAGTAGAAGAAGCCACACTTTAAAGAGCACTAGTTCCTCACTGGTTCTACTTACATAGACTCTAGAAAATGAAGTCTGATTTATTGTGACAGAAATTGGTTGAGTGGTTGCCTGGGAACGGCGAGGGAGTGATTGCAGAGGGTCCTGAGGCAACTTAGAGGTGATGAGTGTTTATTATCTTGATTGTGGTAATGGCTCCACAATTGTATATGTGTCAGAACATTCAGATTATACATTTTGAATATGTGCAGCTTATTGCATGTCATGTTTTTTAGGGGGCACCCGGATTTGAATTGGGGACCTCTTGCACGTCAGTTTTATCTTAAAGCTTTTTTACACCTTCTTATGTGTTTCTGTTCAGAGTGTAGCTTCCATTGGCAATACTTTAAACAGCGTCCATCTTGCTGTGGAAGCAATGCAGAAAACTGTGGATGAACACAAGAAAACAATGGAATTACTGCAGAGTGATATGGTAAGGAGACCCAGAAAGTCAGCATGCTTCTGCGCACCCTATGTTATGTAAGAGTCATGATTCCAGCTTTCCACTAATCTGAAAAGGCCCTGCATGCATCTGTTCAAAAATCTAATAAGCAGTATACATTGATTGTTCTACAATTTGTTAGTAAACCAATTATGGTAGATAGAATTAAAAGCCAAGTCTTTTGCAAACATAGTACTGGAGGAGGTAGGTAATAAGACACAGTTCCTGAGGATGGAATGGGTAGGACAGAAAATGGAAAAGAAGGAAAGGGAAGGTGTGTCTCATTATTTGTTGCTACATAACAAAGCTCCCCAGAACTTTGTGGCTTAAAACAAGTAATTATTTCTCATTATTCTGTGCATCAGGAATTTCAACAAGGCACTTAGACTCCCAAATGCTGAAACATGTGCTCGTGGATGAAAGGCTGTCTAGAATGTTCTAACTCCAGCCAGGCTCTCAGTTAAATAAATGCAGCCTACAACACATGGAACAGAACACCACCCCCATCTCCCCAAACCCCCAGCTGAGCCCAGTCAACCCACAGAATCATAAGAAATACTTAATTGTTGTTGCTTTAAGCCACAAAGCTTTGGGATAATTTGTTGGGCAGCAACAGATAACTGACAGAAGCAAACCCCTCTAGTGCCCAGGAATTGTTTTCAAATGTCTCTGGACCACTTAGTGCTGCTGCAGATGTAAGCTGTCCGCAGTCATTTGGAGGCCTTAATTTAATTTAATTTAATGGGTGACATTTAATGGGTGACAGCCCCATGAAGTATTTATGAAGGGTAAAAAAGGATGGTGTGGCCCTTGCCATCTTGCCAATTTCAGATGAGTTATGTGTAACTCATCTGAAATCGGGACAATTCAAGGCACACAAAAGTTCCCTAGTCTCTCCGCCAAATTCTGGATGTGCCCCCACCCCCACCTGCTCTTTGCAAGCTTCAGAAGTCCAAGTTTAATTGGAAAGTTTGTACCAAGGAGACCTGAGCTATACTAGAGAGCTCTAGAGCTTTAGCTATACTAAAGAGCTCTGTACTAGAGGTTCTGCATTTTCTTCAAAACTAACATGCCTCCCTGTTACTTAGTGGGACTAGCCCAGAGGAAAAAACACTGATCTGGGTGTCCAGACCCCTGATTCTGGTTCTTACTGCCACTGAGTAACTGTGTGACCCATAGTAACAAACCCCCTCTAATTCAACAGTTCTTTCATGATTTTAATATATTGATCATGCTCTCAAGTAATTTTTTCTAAAATAATTTTTCCTAACTAAAAAATTCCTGCTTTTTAGAACCGTGAGTTTCCCCCCAACACACACACACCATTCTCTCCTCCTCTTCTCTTTATTGTTGCCTTTTGGTTTTCTTACAAAAGCAGACTGACTTCAGCTATCAAGGAAAACAGTTTATTTTCACCAGTTGCATTGTTATAATTAAATCTGCCACTTTTAAACTTCCATAGTTGCCAATAGTAATTCTCCTACTGCCATCCTTTATGCTAGATAAGTCATAGTTATGGGCTCTGAAGGATTAAGCCATGCAATGTTTTCCTCACTGAAGGAAAGGTGTATATAAACATGTTATCCTTCAGTCTCTGCAAAGAAACTTGATCAGTGGGAAGGGAATGGAAAAGGAAAGATAATCCTAAAACATTAGTCTTACTTAGCACATGCTATAAAGGAAAAACTAATAATGGGTATGATTGATGGTTATGCTAAATGCCCAAAGCCCGTGGTTACATGACTCACTGCCCTTTTAATGTCAGAGCTCTTGAGTCCAGTGGAAACAATGACACTGTCCCAGGTTGAGACTAAGTTGGTCCCTGGAAAGTTACAGTGATGCTGTAGTTTCTTTGGGAGTACAAGCAATGGGGCAAAGAAGAAATGTTTCTAGAGAGTTCATTCCATTAAGAGATTGAGAAACAGACTAGGAGGATCTGAGTTCCCTGAGGTAATCTAGGTGCTGCTGTGGGGCTCCAGCTCATACTCAGGCTGGGCTCTCTCAGAACCTAGCATAGGACTGGTTAGCCTGTACGTTCCCAGACAATACTTACTGATTAATATGTGGATGCATTCTGGGGGAGGCTAGAATGTTCTAGGACCATCTCAGTTAACTAGACCTAGTAATTCCTTGTTGTCTACAATAACCTTCTTTCCTCTTAACAGAATCAGCACTTCTTGAAGGACACTGCTGGAAGCAACCAAATCATTCCATCACCTTCAGCCACATCAGAACTTGACAATAAAACCCACAGTGAGAATTTGAAACAGGTGCTTTTTATCTCTGGCTTAACTCCCTGTGACCACAGTGCACTGCAGAGACAGCCAAATAGTTTGGGCTTAATGTTTGGTGTCTCAGCAGGCGCCTCCTGTATTTGTTTGCCTGCCTGGGAGCTGAGCTGAGAGAAATGTGTGTTGGTATCTCGGGAATCCATATTGCTGTCCTGTCCCTTCTTTGGCACTTTGCAGTTTTTCTCTGCGTGTCAATCAGTGGAGTAAATTCCTTTTCATATCTTAAAAGACATAGAATGAGCAGATTTTCCTGAAACTCTTTATGGAAAATAGCTATCTGGGTAGGTTAAAGATGAATGGATAGCAGATTAATCCAGAGTGATGGCTATTTTGAGCCACAGTAAATTCTAAGAATGTTAGAAAGCATATCCTGGAAAATCAGGATTTTCTAAAGTCTAAAGACGAAAAAGCAAGAGGGGGGAAAAAGACTACTGAGTTCAAAATCACATTAAAGAGAATAGAGGAAATCTTCACTAAGAAGACTTTCTGTCCTGAGTTTAATGCCCTTTAAAACCTATAGTTATCATTCTTTTTTAAGTAGCAATCAGTACTGGAGAATGTCAGTAAAAATAATTGAATCTTGTACTAAATAATGTGGTACTTGTTATGGTTTTGTTACATGAGCCAATTCAGTAATTGGTATTGTTCCTAAGGTAGGTTTGTTCTGACAAATTAGGTTAATGGACCTTTCAGTTAATAACCCAGCAAGCCTTTCCGCCAGCAGGTGATGTAAACATTGAGAAGTCATTTCCCAAGCTCTCAGCTTTCTGGGGCCAAAGAGTGAATCATGTAGGTAGTTCTGTTCCCTGTTTTCCCCTCCTGTCTAGCTGAGGCCAAACAATTCCAAAAGGAGCAATTTAAAGTGGGAGGGACAAAGCAGAGACAGACGATTGATGGTCAAAACCAGCAAAAGGAGTTTACTTCAATACTTGACATAGTAATGGTTGTTTGGTGCTGCTGGCCTCCTTGTCTAATTTACGTCTTTCATGGAATTCCATAACTTTATTTATTTCCACTCTAGGATATCCTGTACCTTCACAACTCTTTAGAGGAGGTAAACAGTGCCCTAGTGGGGTACCAGAGACAGAATGATCTTAAATTCGAGGGAATGAACGAGACAGTCAGTAATCTTACCCAGAGAGTCAACCTGATAGAAAGCGATGTGGTTGCTATGAGCAAGGTAGAAAAGAAAGCAAACCTGTCCTTCAGCATGGTAAGCTTTTTCTGATCTTTTGTGACATGCAGTGTGTTTTGTCTATGCATGGATGACATCCCACCACCTTTTGAGAACAGCCTTCTGGCCTATTTGAGAGGCTTAACCCATGTCTCCTTTAATCCTCACACTAGCTGTGCGATGTGAATGGCCAGGCAGCGTTTGTCCTGTTTTGTAAAGGGAGATGTGGAGAGGTCCAGTTGCTTACCAAGGCCTCACCACAAGCTGTTGGCAGAGATGACAAGCCTACTGTCAGTTACCAGTGAGCCATCTGGTAGGGGAGCTCTGGCACGTATTTCCAAGGGTCGTCTTCATCTTTTCTAAGTTGTTAGCGATGACAGCCATGAAAATAATAGTAACCAAAAATCTTTTGCCATTTCTTTAAGCCTGAACGTGGCTTTCATATTTATCCTGCTGTCTATATATTAAAGGGAACCTTTTGTGTATGTCAGGAAAGTCATTTAAAACAGATCAGGTCAGACCAGCTCCCCAACTTAAGACATTATTGAGTTCACTTCCTCATTTTACATGTAAGGAAACTGACCTACTAAGTTGCTGATGCTGGCAGACTGTGCATGGTTTACTGGTTTTCATATTGCTGTGAATAAAATGTGCAGTTTTTGTCATCACCTTTCACATGAACATTGTGCAGGGATCCATGTGGATTCTTTTTTTAATAACTGCAGCCCCCACCCTTAAAGATTTCATACAGCAAAGACACAGGCAAATATTTAAAAATAGAAACCAAATACAAGAAATTGTGCCATAAATTCAAGTAACCACCAAAGCTAGAAGCAAGCCCACATATAAAGTCGAACTCTGGTTCATGGAATGCAGCATTTGAACTAGCTCTGCCACACTGGAGCCTTGGTGAGTTGCCTGGAAAGGTCCCTTTAAAGGGTGGAGTGGGAAGACCTGTTCCCTCTCCTGCTTTGCAGGAGTGTATAATTTACTACAAAGCTGTGAAGATTAAAGGAGCTTTATTTTACAAAGCCCTTTTGAACTCAGCTAAACTAGGTTGCCTAAGAATTTTAGTTCATGGCTGTTATGCATTGAAAGTTTTCAAGGCTTATTGTGGAAACTTACCCCTTCTAAACTCTCTTTATGTCTCTGCCCTCTCCCCTGACTATATTTCTCCAGCAGAGAAAATTGGTAATAGTATCCATCTGTCCTACTGTTTCTTAGAGCAGCATCATGCTCAGCATGATTTTGGGTAAAAGTTCTACTACCTTTTATCCTTGAAAGTCTTAAAGTTTGCGACTGAAAGAGCTGGAAGCACTAGTTTCAGTTTTGTCTGTCTGGCTGTTCTCCCTCTCCTCCCATCTTCTACTCTGCAATTTCTGTTGAGAGTGTTCTGAGATCCTTTCAATAAGTTTAACCAATTTGTTTAAAGTGCTAGATGTTCAAATTTTATTGTTTCCCTTTAATCTTCCCTTTGTTTGTTTTTGTTTTGCCCTTTAAGATGGATGATAGATCTGCCACTCTGAAAAGAGAGTCTTTGGATCAAGTCACCAACAGAACAGATACAGTAAAAATCCAAAGCATAAAGGTAAATAATGGGATGCTTACCCTGAAGTAAAAGTAAATGCATCAACATCTCAGTGCTTTTGATCTACTGCTGCTTTTTCAAAGGGAGTACTTTTGATCTCACGTGCTGAAACTTCAAAACAAAGCGATTAGTAAATTAGTATATTAGTGAATAAATGAATACTTTATTAGGCACCTACCCTGTGCCAAGCACTTTACTAGGAGCTGGGGTGACATAGTGAGCAAGGCAGACCTGTGACCCCCTATTCTGGTGGAGCTCAAAGTCCTATCAGTCAGAAAATGATTAACATGTAATTGAACAGGTCGTGAATCATGAGTATGATAAGTATTATAAAGGACAAATATAGAAAATAATAAGATCAAGAAGGCGTCCCTAAGGAAATTACTTTTATGCTAAGACAGTAAGTTGTCTGTACTAATGTTGGGGGACAGAGGCATAAATAATCTAAAAATGTTGTCTAATCTAAAAATTATTTCCTATTTTTGTAGTGCAATCTCAATGTATTCATAGTCCATTTAAACCTCAGCAAGTTCCCTTCACCTTGTACCTTCCCCTTTTTCACTCTTCCCAGACATACTATCAAGATAAGACAAGCAATCTATGATATGCTTTGATATTCCAGGAAGGAAAGTTTGATTTCGGGCTGGGTTTGGTGGCTCATGCCTATAATCCCAGCACTTTGGGAGGCCAAGGCGGGTGGATCACCTGAAGTCAGGAGTTCGAGACCAGCCTGATCAATATGATGAAACTCCGTCTCTACTAAAAACACAAAAATTTTAGTAGAGATAAAATACAAATATCTCTTTAGTAGAGAGAAAATACAAAAAATTTAGTAGAGTAAAAATACAAAAATTACAGGAATGCGTGGTGGCACATTCCTGTAATCCCAGCTACTCAGGAGGCTGAGACAGAAGAATCACTTGAACCCAGGAGGCAAGGTTGCAGTGAGCCAAGATTGCACCATTGCACTCCAGCCTGGGCTACAAGAGCAAAATTCCGTCTCAAAAAAAAAAGTTTGATTACAGTATTCTCTGATTAGACTGTTAAACCCTAGGCTAAGGAAAGCCAGGAAAAGATAAGCCAGGAAGATTATGACCAAGTGACTAAATTACCATCTCAGATGCATATTATATTTGGTAAGTTGAGAGGATATGAGGTTCAGAGGAAATGAACCTGAACAACAGTAAAGGCAGCTTTTGATGTAATGCTTTCTGTCTTTATTTTTACTTCCTTAATAGCTTTATATTATCTAGATAAAGTCACAATATGGTAAGGTTTTGCATCATAAGCTAAGCTTTTGTTGAGTTTTCTAACTGCTTCTGCAGATTTTTTTTAAACTTCACCTAGGGAAGACAAAAACTTAAGAGTCAGATATAAATGTTGAGCACAAAAAACTAACAGGTGCTTACTATTAGAAAGTAGTAGCAATTTCAGTCACAGTTCACATTTTAACAATAAATATAAGAACACACTCATACACACGTATACATAAATTTCTTGGCTTTACTTTCAGGCCCTTGTGTTTTTAACTGGCTTCCCAGTGTGTCAGTTCCTGTGTCCCACCTCATCCAAACATCCTAACCAGATAAAAATTTCTCCTTACCATTAATTCTTCAAGTATTTAGTACCTAGTTTTCATTACATATGTTCATATTTTAGCTCCCTAAATGACCTAAGTGAACTACTGTACAATAACTATTACAGTAGAAATAAGATAGGGGCAAGATAAGTAAATAATGAATAAAAGAAATGTGTAATGAATTGGTGTTCTAATAAAACATAGGATCAGGACCTTTCACACTAGTCTAAGCAGTTAGAAACAAGCCTCATAGAAACCAGATGTCTCTCTGTTTATAATTAAATGTATTTGTATATGATAACGCTTGTTACTCCTGAGAATGAGGCAGGGTATGGGGTAAAAAAAACTTTTTTAAAAGATATGAGCAAGCAAGACTTTAAATTATAAATATTACAGCTCCTTCTTTATGTCTTAACAGTTTCTGCTACCAGTTGAATCATCACCGGGGGGAATAGAGGAAAGATCAGGGGAAAACTTGTGGTTTGTTTTTGTTCAGTTGCTTCTTTTTGTAAGGTGGTAAGAGCATGAAATTCTGCCTAAAGTGGTCTAGTCACAAGGTGAAGCAAGATATTTCTTAAAGTTATTAAGTTAGTATGAAATAGCTCCTAGAAAACAAGATCCTACTCATTTAGGAAATGGGTGTCGCATAGGCACCTGAGCAAGGGTACATTTCCTTTACTGCTGACACATGCATTCCTTCCCCCATCAGCCAAATGTTCCCAGTGAATCAGATCATCGGTAGCATAATGTTCCCTTAATGGTCTCAAATCCAGCAAGATATTTATCAGCGCTGAGGACCAAAGACATCACCAGTATATGTTGATTCATTCTTTTATTGTCTTTATAGGGAACCTACTGAGGCTCAATATTTATCCTGCAGTAGGATATCCTTGCTTAGCACTAAGTCCAATGAGGCACTCAGTGACCTCAGTAGGCTCCCTATATGCTAAATAGCGTCTGAAAATACAGTAGTGACTTAGATGAAGTCTTACTACCACCTTAAACCTTCTGAATCTTTGTTTTGGGCAGAAAGAAGATAGTTCAAATTCTCAGGCATCCAAGCTAAAAGAGAAACTCCAGCTGATCAGTGCTCTTACAAACAAACCTGAGAGCAACAGACCTCCAGAGACAGCTGATGAAGGTGAGAGCAGAGCCGGCTTCTTAATATTTCATGGAGGCTTGAGCAGCTTGCCTCCCACAAAGGGAACAGGGAAGGTGTTCCAGCAGTACTGATCACATCGAGTGAGTGATGCCTGAATGCACCGAGATGAAGCTGATACACTTTGCTTTCATTTAGAAAAAGCCCATTTTGTACATGATTTGTACTCTAGTCTATTAAGGGAAGAATCGGTAATGTTTAGCTGGAAATAGACTTCTCCATGCTGTCTGCATCCAATTATAGGCACAAATGTTACTCTCATAGCGTATATTAAACTAGCCCTAAAAGTTGTTTATGGGAGTCTTTTCCTTTCTGTAAGTGCACAAAATGTATTTAAAAATAAATATTCGTCGTCTTGAAAATCATTAACAAAAATAATGATGGGATCTTTGGGTTGGAAGGATTTTTGGCTTTAGGTGTGGACCTGTCTAATCAATACTAGCAGATACATTAGCCTCCACTGATTTAGACCCTGTGAGTACATAACCAAGGTACTGGACTGTGTTGGTTTTGACTCTTTCCCCACACGAGTATTTTTCTGTGTTAGAAAAGCAGTACAACCTCTCTTGAATTCTCTTTTAGGTAGGAGACAGAACTGTGGTGGGATGCCTTGTGCTAACATTGTGCTACATAATCTTATGGTTGCGCCCTTAGCACCAGCTTAGCGTGTGGCACATACCCCTAGACTGGGTTTAAAGCACATCTCCCAGGATGTCAATATCTTTAATATCCAGCCACTATGCTCTTTTCACTTGACAGCTTAAGCACTTACCATCTAAACGTGTATAATGCTAGCTTGTACTATAAGATCTAATGGGACTGCTGCTGCAGACCTTAATATAATACTGATTGGTCTTCCCTTGCCCACAAATATGTTTCAATCCAAGCCTTTAACTTCACATAGCCACTATGCTACTTAATTATCAAATGTTTCTCTTAAATTAATTGTACATGCAATTTTCCTAAAAGGTGACCTTCAATACTAATCTGGTGTTAGATTCAATAATACTAAATAAAACCTTATATATTTGTTACAGAGCAAGTAGAGAGTTTCACATCAAAGCCATCAGCATTGCCAAAATTTTCACAGTTTCTTGGAGACCCAGTTGAGAAAGCTGCCCAACTAAGACCTATCTCCCTACCAGGAATTTCTAGCATTGAAGGTAAATTTTTATACCACAGGGTAATAACGGGAATGTTCTAAGTAATAACTCTTTAGTGTTTATTTTCACTTGTAAAAAATATATATGATCTAACATTTATTGAGCATATATCAAGTGCCAGATACTTGATATGCATTATGTCATATAATCCTGATAACCATTCCATGAACATAAGTATTTATGTATTATACCCACTTTCCTGATGGGGAAACTGCCTAAGTTCACACAGCAAATAATTGGTTGAAACAGAATGCAAACCAAGATAGTCTGATGCCAAAGCTT